AGTCGTATTCACCCCCTCTATTACTCTTTCTTCTCCTTCTTCCCTGTTCCCTCCTTTTAACTTGCTTGTAAATTTTTACATGTGTTTTGTTACGACCTTCTTATGACATGCATATAATGTACTTGAATCATTTCTCCTCTACTCATACCTTCTCATTTCTCTATCCATCTCCTGCTGGTCCTTCTGCTAATAGTTCCTCTTTTATGTTTTTTTTTAAAAGTCCAGATTCCAGATTCTACATATGAGAAAACATATACTATTTGTCTTTGAGTCTAGTGACATTGTTTAAAATAGAAAACATATGTATTTCAAATAATGGCATTTGTTATTCATAGAATTTCACTTTGTTTATAATTTTGCTTTTTCACTCAATGACTTGGAGATAATGCATAAGAAGTTCTGATTTTCAGACAATTGAAAAGGCAGTTCCATGACTTTGTGCTACCTATTCCTTTGATTGTAGCACAAAAAAAGTTGGTCTGTTTTGTGAATCTCTAGGTGATAGAAAAAGTTCCAGCAGACCAATATAGACATCTGTTGTAAAAACACATGATGATTTTTTTAAGATCCTTACTACTAAGTAGAATAAAAAAATTGTCCTGGTACATCTAGATTTAACAATGAATTGGATCAGTATCACGTAAAACATCTTTGGGCAAGCAGATACATTACCTAGACTCCCAGAAGGGTTTAAGGTTTAGATATCCAATAGATCTTGTGAATCTAAGAGTAGTTTTAGGAACAAGTTTATATTTTAGACACCCATATGTTTAAGAATTTTATCAGTTGATGAAGATAATAGAAGCTATTCTTTTTTTTAATTGTGAAAATACTGTACAGAGGGGTTACAATTACATGGGCAATATAATGAGTACATTTCTTATCAAGCATTGTAGCCTCCTCCTTTGTTTCCCCTTCCCAAAAAGCTATTCTTATAGAAGCTGTAGGTAACACAAAATCTGGAGGAGCACAGTTTATGATGAATGATAATAATAATTCAAGAGATTATACATGTTAAAGATATAATAACGTGAATTAACAGAAGTAAAGTGGAAGGAATGAGAGAAAGAAAAGAGAAGTTGCTAAGAACATTAGAGAAATGCTTAGAAATTATGAAGTTTAGTAATATTAGTATATTAATGAGTTCATGGGACAAATGTAGCAAAATAAGATGTTAGTAATAGTAGAAACTAGGTGTGAGGGGCTGGGAAAGTGGCTCAGTGGTAGAGCACTTGCCTTGCATGCATGAGGCCCTGGGTTCGATTCCTCAGCACCACATAAGCAAAAATAAAAAAGCCAGAAGTGGCGCTGTGGCTCAAGTGGTAGAGTGCTAGCCTTGAGCTGAAGAGCTGAGGGACAGCGCCCAGGCCCAGAGTTCAGG